AGGGGGGGAGATCAAAAATCGTCCACAATCGCCCCTAATGGTTAACACGTTGGACAATCCAGAGGGGCTGCTCGTTGGTGCAAGGTTCCCAAATCCCTCGGCTCCTCTGTTCACCCAGAAACATGAATGGGTACGCCGCAATTAGTCAATGGGCAGGTCGCTCGTGGTTAGGTAAAGTGGGGAATACCCCCACCCCTTTCAGGATGGACGGCCAGCTTGGAAGAGTAGACCAAACACCCTCTGTAAGGATTCTCTAGAGAGCTCCCGGCAGTGGAGGCCTTTCCCTCAAGAGTCGTGCGATTAGAAACGCATTGATGGACGGCCCCTATATAGCTCTTTTTCAGAAGCGACCTGACCACAAATGATAGCTCAACAAAGTGGCTTATCACGTGGACATTTATAGCGGCCAAATGCTCTAAACGCGTGACGTTGATTCTAAATGTGGAGGGAAACCCCCGGAGGACCCGAAGAAAAATTCCACCCAAGCACAGGGAGAGAGACACGCAAGCTCCAAATATTACAGGCGGCAGCGTCAGAATTGAACCCACGATCTCCTGTATACCGGGCGAGGTAGTTAACATCCTGCCACCGCCGCGCTCACTACGTTGGTGCCCCCTCCCCCCCGCTCCATGCTCTTCTTGATTGGGCATTCAGCAGTTGACTGCCCGTTCCATCGCCTGTGTCGCTCCGCAGTCACGGGTGGGATTATATATTTTTTAAAATCTTCCGCTCGTGTAGATGCTGAGCAACATCGGCCGCGTGGTGGTCTGTGGTCTGTCCTTTCGAATGCAGTGATTCACCGTGGCCTACACTTTACGGTGAGAGGCGAAGCCAGCAAAAAGGATGGTTCCGTTAGGTCACCCAATGAAGTCTTTGTTTTGTCTACGGTGTGTTTCGCCCCCCACCCCCACCCCACATTCCGTTCACCATCTCTCCGAAGGTTGGAGGCTGCGTTTGGAATCTCTTATTAGACGATTTCAGGCGAGACAGCAAGCGTCCATCATCAGGTGAGAAAGCCTGATGATGGACGCTTGTGTTGCGCTCGAAACGTCGTGATTTATTTTATTTTATACCTACGTGACTTTACCGAAAGGACCAAAGAGTATGATTTCAGGCGAGTTGAGGGGAGGGTGGGGTGGGGGGGCTGGCGGGCGGGCTTGTCGAGATCATTGGAAAAACACAGCACTGACCAGAATGGTGAAGTATGATCGAATAACCCCCCCACCCCCCCATTTTAATGAGCATGGCGTTCGGAGGGCCCTCATCTAGCAGTGGTTTCACGAAGGGGCTATAAAATGCCCATGTTGCTATTTAAGCATGAATCAAGGACCCGTCCACGGCGTGGCTTTAAGGCCAATTGCATAAACACTGAAAAATACATGCCGATGTCTTTTTTGGTTCTGCTATGTCAGAATGTTCGATCCAGGGTATGGTGTTACTGTGCCGAGTAATACGGGTCAAAAGCCATACGTCTGGGTCACCTGAACAAATACATGTCACCTCGCATAGGACAAGCACAGCGCTGGCATCAGGCTATGGCGGTCGTGCGTCACACGTGTGATTTGTGCGACACGTGTCCGAGACGACATCGACCGAGGAGATGGAGTGATGAAATCGGTTCGTCTGCAGATACCGGGTGGATTAATAAATTGATGGATAATGAGAGGTGGCGGTAGTGGTGGTGGCTTGAGGAGGCCTTCATCCAGCAGTGGATTGACCATGGCTGATTTTAATCATCATGATTTGCGTGACAATACAGCGCCAGAGACGTTTCTTGGCAGGTGTTAAAGTGACCATGGAGAGGCTCGCCTCGTGCGAGCGCGCTGTTATTTTACAAGCGTATCGTTTGGCCCTTTTATCATTTTTTTGATGTTGCCATGCGCCACGCGCCGCCCCACGGTTACGTTCCCGCTTTTAAATTCTGAATATCTTTTGGGACGTTCGCCGAGCCACCCCCCTACATTGCATTTCTTCCAGCGAGAATATTCGCGAAGGGGCGCTGCTGTCGTTTTGCGAATCGGCGGTCCATTTGCCCCGCCGCAAAGTTAAATCCCTCGACACGGTGGGCGCCTTTGGGGGTTATTTTTGCTTCCCACCTGACAAATTTGGCTTCTCTCAGACGCCCGTCATACAAATGTAAAACTCGCTGTGCAATAACAAGGTTATCAGGAGAGATCGCACTTGATACCCGTGCTCTCAATGTATTTTTCTACTTTATTTTTAAAAAGGTTAAACGAAGTAAATAAATCGCATACGTTTCACTCGCCTATTCGTTACGTAACACTCGCAGGCAGCGTTAACTTGCTTGCGTGGCGAAAACGCAACGCGCACCTCAATATTTATCCTGGCTCGAGTGAATTTGCATTAGCTCGCAGCAAAAAAGCGCGTCATGAATCGTGGACTCCTTGGCCTTACTCACCAACAGCTTGCGACCTAATCCTTGAGATTCCGTGTGATTTGAATGCCGTGAAAGCATGTGTGTGTGCGTGTGTGTGTGCGTGCGTGCGTGCGTGCCAAAGAGAAAGAAGCCAGTCAATGGCGATTTAACAACAGCAAAAAATCCTAGGATTGAATTGGCATAGGTTATTAGGGAATGTGGAGTTGGTCTGATCGCTTACAACGCCATGAAAGAGTTTCGCTCTACCAACTAATAAGATTTTCATCCATTTGGCGAAGCCAGACGCTTCTGAATCGAGGCGCTACCCTAATCCATGCATTATGTCAAAGGACAGATTCTAATCTGCATGTTTCAGTAACTCGTGAAGTGCATCACCTTTTCAATTTCAACAGCTAATAAAACCCGTCCTTGCAAAGCGAACTGTGTTTTTAATGGATCTTGCCGTCGATATTACTGCTGTTTGGTATGAGAGCTTGCTGAAGCAATCCTAATATATTGATAACATTGAGGGTGACTGGGTGGCTCGTTGGGATGCTAATATGCCGGAGCACTAAGCCAGTTTCAGATGTTTCCCCATTTGTTATTTCAGGAATTAATCTTTCACCTTGCGAATACAATATTTGCAGCCTCCCTTTTTTGCAATAAAGTGATATTTATTTGCATATAAGTGTATATTGATGCTTTTCCAACAACATCAAAAACGATTTAGACCACTTTCCATATTTACTTGTGAAGCGCAGTTGCTTAGGGTTGCTCTCAGTGTATGGCTACTTTTTCAGCGAGCCTAACCAATTTGACTTTGTTCCCATCAATTTAGCGCTCAACCCCCACCCCTAACCCAGGGGCACAAAGAGAGGAAGGGAGAAGTAATGCTGACTGGTGGGAACTCACATCCATTACCACTGTCACTGCGGAGATCCTGGGTGTTGGAACGGGCCTTTTTTTAAAGTGCATTTACGGTGGCCAACGACCACGATAAAATAGTTTTCACTTAATTTTGGCGTATTTAGGCGACCGTTTGTTGTCAGGATTTTTTTTTTACCCAAAAGTAAATTTATTGAATAAATGATTTTTGTGCACTCAGAGGGCATGTTTGGGAATTGACACCAGTTTAGACACAACGCGAAGTAGAATGATTATCGCCAACATTGTTATTTTGAACGTGTCTTTTTGTGTTTCGGTGAACTCTACATCCCTGGTGTTTACTTCCTTAACCCTTGTTTTAGGATTTTAAAATTTGATGTTAAACTCTAACTGGATGTTTTGGCGCCCTTACAGGGTTGAAAGTTGGCACATTCTCTCGCGCGTTCTGCTATGAATCTGGGATCGTGAGTTTGATTCCAGGCCATGGTTAACATCTGTTGTGAGCAGCATCCTCAACGATTCCTTGACTCCCCTTCATGAACACGCACTGACCAGCATGATGAAGTACAGCCAAACAACCCCCCGTGACCTACAAGGTGTGGGGAGGCATTTGCCAAGGAGTTGATTTAACGGCTGTAAATTAATTATACACCAGTGTCCCATCTTGCCAATAAACTTCCAGTGATATATGCTTTGCCCTTGAAAACCATTAAGGGCAGATTTGGATAGTCCGAGATTATAAACAATTTAAAATATCAAGGATGTAATCCTCCCCCCAATTTTGGGGAACTGAATAAAAAAATGTTTATCCACATTTTTATTGTTCTAAGTATACAGATGACTTCCGTTGTACAATGTTTCAGCCCTCTATCCCATCATAGGCCATAATTAGAACTTGCATAATTCTCCCAATCACTGAAAACGCTGTGTCAATTCACTGCGAGACGAAGGGTTTCTTAAGCCCGTTTGGTCACGGGGGTTGCTTGACCATACTTCACCACTCTGGCCACGTGCAGCCTTGTGAAACGGGAGGTTGCCCAGGAACTTGCTCCGCTGGGTTCATAGCACACTGTGACAACCACTCTGCCCCCCACCCTCACTAGTGCCCAGCTACACACACACACACGAGATGTCTTCACTGCAGCGAGGAGGGAGTGAGACGTCTATCAAGGGCAGAGCCGTGCGTGGGGGTGGAACGTGAGGCGAACGTGCTTAATGGCCGCTAAAAGAAACGCATTGATGCCCTGCCAGCCTCCCTCGGCACGGCTCCAGAGGAGGAGCTCTCTTACCCCCCCTCACCCACCCCCCCCCCCCAAGTCACTTCTGCTCAGGTTTCCTTGCCTCACACAAGCGATGTTTTGTTTGGGGGGGGCAAGGCTGTGAAGTAAAGTAAATCCCCCCCCCCCCCCTACGAAAATCCGAATGCCCCATTCTTTCACTCTCCCACCCGGGAGGCTACCTTTACCAGCCATTTCCTCTCGCTCTTCAGCCTTGCCCTGCACTTAGGTGACAAGCGTTTGTGCTTTTGGTCTCAGCGATTTCACATTTTTTTTTGCCCCGAGTCCTTGCCAAGCGACGAAGATTCAGGAAGCAGAATGCGACATCACAACAATTAATTTGTTATTTGTAAGAATACGCTGCGCTCAATGGGGTCTCGTTTTGTAAATACTGTTGATTTTAAAAGCCGCAAAACTAAATTGTAACCTCAGATCCTTGTGTACTTGATATTACTTTTAAAAAAAAAATGTAGATTATGACGGCGCTGAAAATGCTTATACCACCGTAGGTAGAACGTCTTACATTGTCGAAGCTCCAGAGAGCCCCGCTAGAGGCTACTTGTTCCACACTAGCCAGACAGACGTTTTGACAGCGGTGAGAGTACTCACATTTTACACCACTACACCCGACCTGCCGATAAACTGCAAGCACGAACACACGAGAGGGTGAACAAACTCGCGCGCGGAGAATATGGGAACGGAAGTCGCACCCTAGGCGAAATTCTACCCCCTAATGGGGGCTGATGAGGGATCATTCTGGGACCTTTTCCCTACCAAACGGTAGGACCAAAGATCGGGGAGATTAGAGGAGGCATGGGGAGTATATTAATATGCATGGTTAATGAAGGGATATCTCATCAATAAAAACACCACAATTGCCAATCATTTTTCAAAATGTTTTTGAAAGTCCCAAAGTCGTTAGGAGGACTTCCACTCAATCGTTAAGCATCTGTATGGTTGCTATTGGCACACTGTATGCCATATTTAACACGCAATTTTTTAAGCATGAAATTAATTTGAATTACTCGTTGCCGTGAATCGATCATCTGACCGTAATTCCACATTTGTTTCGCTTTAGTTTTCTTTCTTAACGCGTGCAGTTTATTATCATTTGCAGAAAGTGTTGCAATTTGTTTGTGCACCGTGTCAAATTAATGATGAACGACTGAGCATCTCTTAGCTTTGTAACGGAGGTAAAAACTAAACGATTAAACTTTTAACATTATTTTACCAGGTAAGGCCCACTGAGCTGCATAGCTCTTTTTTTATAAGTGCCCTGGCCATAATTGATGGCCTTAACGAAACGGCTTATTACGTGGAAATTTATAGCAGCCAAATACTTTAAATGCGTCTTTCTAAATGTGGAGGGAAAAAACGGAGGGCGCGGAGAAAAATCCACACGACCACGGGAAGTACACGCAAACTCAAAATATACAGTAGGCGTCATAGTTGAAATCGAATCCGTGACCTGCTGTATACCAGGCGAGGTAGTTAACATCTCGGCACCGCGGCGAACAAAAGTGAAGACCTGCAACTGCTTCCTCACGCCACTGATCGCAAAATGACCTCTAGAGAGAGCTCAATGGAGCACATACGTTGTCCAGGTGACTTAGGAGATGTGAGTGCCCACACTTTACCCCACCACGTGTCCTGCTAATTTGATACACCAGTGAGGCGTCCTTGTAACTTGTTGACCCAGGTCACCATTGCAAAAGGTGGGTTCTCTCACCTAGTAAAATGAAGTCAATTATCATGATAACGTCGAGAAAATGCTCACATTTTAACGGACGCGGCGTGAGATATTGCCATGTTTCTCCCCACTCCACGTTCAGTCGTGGGGTTTTTTTTTGCACCAAACTTCACCAAAACTCATCGGTGCGGGTTGGTGAAGGGAGGGACGGCGCACGAGCGACCAGTTCTGATATCACTTGCCACCGATGTTGGCCGTGGCCTGAAATCCAAGTCGGCTCGCCAAGTTAATTCTTGCATCCGGCGCGCTCACCGCTGCGCCACCGCTCCCTGCCCCGTTATTGCACCGACATGAAGGAAGAGCTTTTTATTATTATTATTATTGCAGCTCCACGACTGTTATCACTTTAACATCGTCAGCACGTCCTCTTGCCAAAAACGTCTTTAAGGTATGTGTGGAGAGTGATGATGGCATCAATCATTCTCTTTTTTTTTTACGGCCGGCGTATCGGCGCTCAAGGGGGTAGCCTGTCACGAGTTTGTCGCCGCGCGAAAAGGGCAATGCCGAGGTGTAGTATATCTCTGAAAACGAGAGGGTGGGCAGTGGACCTGTGGACACCCGTTCTCGTAAGAATGCAATTAAGGAAATCCATTAATGTCCCGCGTCTGTGACGCTCTCACCGCGGCCCGCAATGGGTGGGGCGGCGTGGGGGGCATCGGGGAATTTTGAAATCTAATAGGGACACGTGACATTGCATCCCATCGCGCACAACGAGTCTGACATATGCCAAATCTTTTCTTCTTTACAACGTCGACTTGTCGACGTGATATGGATGATGCCGAAGAGAGACAGACCTAAAAAACCCCACTGTTGCGTAGCCTCCCCGTTTATGGTGGACATAACATGAAATGTATGGGAAATTTTAAATGCCAGTTGTGTAATTTTCACACTCCGCAAAGTTGTACGGTGGAAATATTGTTTGGTGAACGATTGCTGCATGAACATTTCGTCTTTGAGTTCACCCCTTTCACAACGCAGCACGTTCGCAAAGTACATCATTGACGTAGTCGAAGATGTTAGGCCAAAATAGTGATGATAATAATGCAGTGTGTAACACAACGAATGCGTCTAGAATCTATCCCCATTGCTATAAAAAAAAATTGCGCTGGTAACTGTTTTAACACGATTTTGGTAGCGGTCCAAGGGGTTTCATGTTGCTCGCAGTGTTTCTTTTCCTCCTACCCCAATTTCCTACGGCAAAACAAGTTTTTGTGCAGATGGTTAGAAACGTCTGCAGCGACTTGCAGCAGGGGAATGTGAGATGCGGGAAAGGCTCGGCGGTGATTGTCATGTTAATGCTCCCGGCCAGAGGGAAGCTATCCAGTGCCAGTCAACTACGCTGAACATGACCGCTGCTTATCAAAGCCTCCTTTTTTCCCCTCCCCGTCATTATTTTTTTTTATATATGAAACTTGCTCAAGAAAAAAAATTAGAGACTTCAAATGAGTATTCCGCCAACTGGCGTGCTATTGAATTAACCGCACACTACTTCTAAAATGTGTGTTCTTCTTCTAAGTACAGAATCCGGGTACATACGACACCGGCACAATACGAGCATGACACTCACGCTGTGATTTGAGAAAACGAAGGAAAGGGAACAACGAGAAGACAGCGCGGCGACAAGAAAAGAGATGAGCAGAAAGTACAACGGTGTGGCAAGGGGCTCCGAAATCTATAACTTCTTGATGCTCTCGACATTTCTGACAGCTGTGCGCTGATGAGCTCTTTTGTTTAGATAGGAAGCTCCCGTCCTGAGGCACGCGTGTTCCTGGGGGTGCACGCGACATCTCTGGGGGGTGCGCGAGACAATTTACGTGGGGTATGGTCACACATGGTCACTTACTTAGCAGTGCTCGCGTTAATCGCAAATATTTTGTAAATTGTTACCAAGAATTGACTAAATGTAAATGACGCGTAAAATGCAATACAAATGTAAAGGTGTGAAGTTACAGAAATATTTGTGTGCGCCGGTCGTGGCACGTGGAACCTTTGTCAATCCACTGCTGGATGAAGGCCTCCCCATGGCATGCCTGTCATGGGTGTAGTTGAACTAGACTTCACCATGGTGCTCAGTGTGGTGTGGTGGTGAAGAGGGGGTGGTCCTCAGCTGGTATCGCATTCCGTTGATGTTATATTCATGGCTGGGAATCGAACCGAGATAATTTGGTTGAAAGCCTACTGTGCTAACAACTGAACCTCCTCCTCGCCCCCCCCCCCCAAATAGGTTAAGAACCAAATCAATTTACTAAAATATAAAAGCACACGCATACATTTGAAGGCTCCTCCTTTGCACATTGATTTGTTTGTTTGTGATGGGGGAAAAAAGGTCCATTCGTCAAAAATAAATCGTGCTTAGCATTGAAAAACACTCGCTTTTAATTATCCATATGGCATGCCTTGGTCGCGTGCTCGTACATTTCACAAAGCAATTGCATTAAAATTAATCTGAGTGTGGGGACACCCTTCCTCACGTGGAAATTCACACGAACAGGGAGGCGGCGATCCTGTGGTGGAGAGACGTCTGACTTCGAGCCAACTTATGAAATGACACCTTCGCCTGCCTCTTCATTATTGAGACACTGGCGCTGTGAATCAACGTGGGCTTTATGACCTTAGTTGAATGGGCAGTTTTTTTTTCCTTCCCTAAGACACCGAAAAATTTATCCGTCACCAGTTTTAAAAGCAAGTGCAATGTTGTTTTACGAGGTCACTGGTTTATATATATATATTTTATTATTTTAATGTTTCCCTTCAACGTGACTTTACCGAAAGAACCAAGAATGTGAGGTTACTGGTGTTTTGATGCCTTCAGACAATGCATTAAAGGCGCGTGTGCACACGGGGAGCCCTTTTGGCAGTACACTGCCTTGAGGGCCTCCCCCCTTTCCGTACCGGTTGGATCGAGATGGTTATGAACCAATACTTCACTACAATGGTCAGTACGAGTTGGTGAAGGTACGGAGCATAGATTTGGGAGCATAGAAGCACAGTACAGCAATGGATCGTGCTGCACTGCCTCCTAAATAGCCCGCAGCCGTCTTATCTCAAACCTCTTATACATGGTGGTCACTAATCCAAGCCCTATGCAGGCTCAAAAAATCCTGCTTAGCTTCTGAGATGTGACAAGATCTGTTAATCTTATTCGGTATTAAATTGTACATGGGCAGAAAAACGCAATTATTTTAAATGACCTTGCCAACCAAAATGCAATTTTTACAAATTTCCACAGCAAACTCTCCTGCAGTCAAACAAACTGTGGCACTGGGGACCATTCTGCACGTGACCTAGTTCTGGTTTAACACTCCAGTGTGACCAGCACCTGTGTATGACTGAAGCAGAACACGAGTCATGTCTGTGTAGTCTGGAATAGAATCCGCTCTCTCTGATTGAATTGTGATTTTTTTTTTACAATAGAAACCTAACACAATTTGCCGAAGCCTTATTTGTAATGGTGCTAGTGGAGGAGCCCGTTGCGCTGCAACATCAAATAAGACACAGCTGTCTCTTCTCACAATCATCCTGCGATGGGAGCACTGGAAGTAGTCTGGTATTTTGTGTAATTAAATGGAAATATAATAAATATTTTGATAGTTTTTTTGGTTCTCTGAGATTTTAAATAACATTCTGGCAAAATAATTACATAAATAGGAGCACAAAAACTATATTCGTCCATCCAACCTCCTCCAGTGTCACTATCTATTGTGTCTTCTGAATCTCTGCCGGTTTGGTGGCAATGTCCCACAGCCACTAACATTAAATCGTTTTTTTATTTTCTATTTAAGTGACTTTACCGAAAGAACCAAGAATATTAATCGTTTTGATTCTCACCTGGTAAAATGAAGTCAACTATGATGATAACGTCGACAAAACGCTCACAACCAACATGGATTGAGAGGTGGTCATCTTCCTCCCCCACGCCATGTTCGGTCATGGGGTAGTTTTTTTTACCCATAATTCACCAAAACTTCACCAAAACTGATCAGTGCGACCGGTTCTGATATCACTTGCTGCTGATGTTGGCCGCCGCCTGTTGGAGTAGAGAGGAGGCCAGCCAGCAGCCAGCCAGGACACTTTAGGCATAGGTCATTATAAAAAAAGAATACTATAAGGTTTGGTATATATAATGAAATTAAAGATACATTATATTTTATTTTAAGGCCTTCCGAATAATTACATTACTCATAGTGGGCATAATTGAAATGCTTATTTAAAATACCTTATTTCATGTTCAGCATTGCATTTTATGAATATGCTGACGTTTATATCAATATTGTGACTGCTTTAAGAATTTAAACATTTATTTTAGTCATGTTTATTTAAAAATGGTTATCGTAAATTACACGATTGCAATTCACCTTATGGCTCTAAAGTTAGCTTTGATTGTGGAATAGAGAAGCTTCTTAAAAAAGTGCATTAACTGCTGATCATTCCTGAAATAGAGAATACATTTTAAAATGACGATTGCTTCTGGTGCTTTTGTCTGAAATATAATTTTCCACTGTCATCAAGTAGAGTAACACTCTTTTGTTCCCTTTTTCAATTTCATTAGCGAATCCGCCACATCAAGCTTAGGACACAGTTGTTGTCAATAAATTATCTAATATAAAATGCATCGAGGGTTTTCTTTCAGGATTATAAAGAGTTTACATATCAGAGTTCCTCTTCTGTGCTGATGTAGGGGATGGATATCGTGCATCCTGCTATCCAATATTTTACTAATCTACAGGAAAAAATGTGGATAATCATGGATTATAGAAAGACCACTAATAATAACAACAGTTTCTGCTGGATCACGGAAAAGAGGAGTTCTCCTGTACACACTTTAAGAAGTAATTTGATGTCTTTCCCCAGCCTTTACTCGTGGGTGCATTGTGCATGACTGGAAAAAAAAATCACCTGGATTACCGTAAACATGTTTGAATAAAAACATTGTCCAGCCATGGTAAGTTGCACTTGAATAATAATAATAACGGCAGATGCCTTGACCTATTTCTTGAGGTCATCGCTCGCATTCAAGGTCAATAGGCTTCCTTCAGTTCACACTAAGGCACTTTATAATGAACATAAACTTTACACGGCTCACTATTCTCTTTGAAACAACATTTTCTCTGCCCGAATTACTGGCATTGTGTAATGACCTAAGTGCATCTATAAACGTCCCCTGAAATATTGCACAGCCAGAGTTTTGCACAGTTATGCCACACACACACAGGGCAGGGATTTGAACATTACACAGCTGAAATCGAGCAGGTTTTTATGCACGTGTGAGGGGTGAAAGAATGCATCGATCATTTTATCATATTTATGAGTTGGCGCGAGATACATCAAACGAAGCACGTGTGTAAGAACTTATGTTTTTCAAATTCCCATTGCATTACTTGGAGTGGTAGCATTACTATGAAATTGGCATCTTGATTTTGATTCCCAGAATGTATTAGGGACCACATTTTTTATAACGCGGATGCGAATTGGATATAACACGATTGAGTGAACAGAACAACTACGTCACGTGAGTAGGAGTAAGCGGTTGTACGGCTGCCTCGGCGTAGCATCGCACAAGGCGGGATGCTGCTGGATGCTTCTAGACGCTATCCACACGCCTCAGTGTTTGTTCAGCCTGCGTACGCATCTCACGTGCTATCGCGCATTGTACTTTATCCTATATAATATATTTAGTTTCTTTCCCATAATTCTGTGTTCTTCAGGAATGCAGCTGCCGCGTTATAGAACAGACTGTGCACCATGCAAGAAGGTTAAGCGTGGTATTTTGCACATTGTTTTTTGCACATTGTTATTGGCTATTGCTGTAGTTGCTCTCCGAAAAAAAGGCAAAGTCCACATTGAAGCCGTGGGTTGGCACTGAAGCGGAACGGCTCCGATTTCTTTTCTCAGTATTGCTGAGCGCTCCGACAATAGGCTTCAATTCGTGGTAATTGGTGGAATCTCTAAATAATAGGAAACATCGACAAAGGGTGTAATCAGGCTGTGGGGAGGGGTGGTGGAGGGGGATATCATCACCATCGTCGTGCTCATCGTCGTCATCACCGGTCGCGGTCCCCGCGAGATGCCGCCACGCGACCCGCTTGCCCTGAGCGCGCCGCCACGCCGGGCACGCTCCCAGCCCGTGACGTTTCACGTCGGCCCCATCGCGGTCTGTCCCGAGGTCGGCTCCAGTCCCGCCGTGGGAGCAGCTCCACGGCCGCCACCCGTCGACGACCGTGGCCGCGGTGCGGCGTGGGGGGGGCCCGTGGTTGCGATCGGGCCACCCACCCGAGCCACGTGGTTCCGAAGACGCGACGTCTCCTGACCCTGACCGCGTTCGGTCACCACCGGAGGGGGGTGCCGTCCGACGTACGGACGCCGGCGCTCTGTGACGCTGCTCGCTTTTGCGGATGCCGAGTGTGGGACCGTCACGGACAACCACGGCTCGAACACGTTCAGCAGTAATCCTGCACGCAAAAAACAAAAGCCGCTGACATTGTCCACAGCGGAGCCGTGCTGCGGCAGAAGCAGCAGCACGGGGAGGATGTCCGCGCGGTAGAGGCGCGGATCTTTGTTTGCCATTGTTCTGCTTGGAGTGCCAGATGTATCTGTCGAGCTCTTTCAGCGTGAAATGTTGTGTCAATGAAAATGTACGCCTCGACCACTTAATAGTGAAATAAATTACAACCCCTTTATGGGTGAAAGCACGGGTAGACTGTGATTAGGAAGCAGTGTGGTCTTCATTCGGTAATTTTTTTTTATATATATAAACGTGGAGTTTTAGCGAGATATACACAAATAACTTCAAACAATAAAGGACACAAAAGACAAGCGCAGCCATGCGTTTCTCATCGCACGACTCTCGAGGGAAAGGCCTCCACTGCCGGGAGCTCTCTAGAGAATCCTTACAGAGGGTGTTTGGTCTACTCTTCCAAGCTGGCCGTCCATTCTGAAAGGGGTGGGGGTATTCCCCACTTTACCTAACCACGAGCGATCTGCCCATTGACTAATTGCGGCGTACCCATTCATGTTTCTGGGTGAACAGAGGAGCCGAGGGATTTGGGAACCTTGCACCAACGAGCAGCCACTCAGGATTGTCCAACGTGTTAACCATTAGGGGCGATTTTGGACGATTTTTTACCCCCCCTCGTCACACGGCGTCACAAAAAGTCAGACCCTCCCCTCAAATATGACGTCACAAAGCTCTGCCCCCCCTCCCCCCCAAAACCATATTTCCATTTTGAAAATAAAACATGCTTCAAATCGCTTTAAACTATTGTCATTGTGGTGCGTATTTAATGTGGCGCTGCACTCTGATGTTGTAGGGGGAAACATTTATTAAAAAGTCTATTTAATTAACAGACAATGTTTATTTAAAGTTGCGCATTTTGATGTGACGTCACATTTCTTAACCCCCCCCCTCGTCACACATCGTCACAAATGTTTGACCGCCCCCCCTAGGTGCGTGACGTCATTTATGGACGGCCCCTTACACCACGTGGCAGCATCCCAATGTACTATTCTTAAACGCTGTTGACGTGAGTAAAATACGAAATTAAGTCGGCAATCTGTTAAGCCTTGCCAGTTTCCCAAAGTTGGTGACGGTTTCCCGAGGCCAGATGGCTCTGTGTTAGTCTCGGAGGTCATTTGAGATGCCATTGTCCGGGACACGAGAAGCCCGTCCTCTGTCCAAACACAACACTGAGCACGTGTAGGAAACTGACCCCGGCACTACAGTAAACGGCAAATACACTGGCTGGGAGAGTGACCGTATAACTTTACACGGCAGAAACACGGACAATGGCACGTAGCTGCGTTGACTCGGAGACAACGGGACACTCAATATTTAACATAGCGTGCCACGTTGGTCGTCGTTGTTTTCTCTCCACGGTATGGGACACGTGGCGACACGGCCTGGCCTGTATCCCAGGCAGTGTTCTCCATCACGGTGCACGCAGACCCAAGAGATGCCCCGTGGTCTTGTTTCACCACAGCCACGCTCGCGTGAGAGGCCCGCTAGAGTGGCGCCACTTTCCCCCACGTCGACTGTCGAGGTGCAGATTGCAACGGTGCTGACGCAGACATCGAAACGTGCTTTCGCGTGTCTACGACGCACGCAATGAAGGATGAGGTGAACTCATCGAAGATGACAAATTATTTCAGTCGTCGGGTGGTTTACAATTCGGCAAAAATGAAGTCATCGGTTTAATCTTTTTGCCGTCATACTGACTGCTCCTCGTCAATCACAATACTCTTTAATCAGATGATTTGATGGGGGGAAAATACATCTACATTCATACTCCTGCCCATGTCCTTGTGCAATTACATTCCTTCCGTCTACCACTCCTGTTTGATTATCAAAGTTTGGCTTCCTCTTTTGACATGTTCCTGCTTGGAATGTATCCACTACACCCTGATAGTCTTTTATTGCACCGATTTTAATGTCCCCCCACGCCCACGTTCATTTTGCTCGCATTGACAACGATGGTGATGCGAAATATTACGGAATGCCGTCCAGCCCACGTGTTTGCGTCTCTCTGCCTGGACAAATGATTCCAGGCATGTGTCCTCCATTCAGCGTCCTCTGCATAGTTGTGTGATTTTGTAATCGTTATTGATTTTTATCAGACACCTTGCTAATGGAGAGTGGAATGCAATGACCTAAAAAGTTACACTGCCATAAATGGACTCCCACAGCAGACAGATCCTACGTTCCTGTTACCAATCAGCAGACCGGCATATATGGTGAAGTATGTTAATTTGCACCCAATGAACAATTACCAATAATGCTTTAACAGTTGAGGTGCATCAATGAATCAATTCATGTATACGATGTTCTAAGCGAATGATTCACAAATTAAGCCCCATGTGTAGGAAGCTACATACATGTTTTATGTTGTTCTTGTATTTAATGTATTCACGTGGCCGGTACAGCTGTTGGTGGCCAATACATCCCTACAATAAAAATAAAATATGATGCAAATAAATCGCGACCCTGAATCGCCCCATTGATGTTGCAAAATAGAAATCCTATACACCAGGATTGTCCAAACTTGCTGACCCTAAAATAGTTTTTTTTTTGGGTTAGATCGCGTAAATCTAAATGTGTCGTTAAATCTGCCACCACCCGATACAGCAATTAGTAAGGTTTGTCACGTAAACAAAAATACCAATTCGTTACTAGTACAGCACACCGGTGTGTTGGAGAGCAAACCCACAACATTTAAAATTCGAGTACGACGTTTCGCCAGTAATTACAACTAGCATCATCAGCCGACAGTAAGATTTGTCGGGAAATCCTCCTGTTTCGTTCTTAAATAGAGGGGTATATGTGACGTAGTCACTTGGGAGCCAATCAGGTGTGAAGGCCCGGGGGGGGGGGGGGGGTGTTTAATGCATATAAATCACCACGGGTACACATTACCGGTTATGTTATTCATAGGATAATCAACGTACATTGTGCATCCATAGTATGCATGCACACTGTGCTTGCACATCCTGTCGTTTTTTGTGCGCAGGAAAATCGCAGTTTCTGTTGTTGTCTGCTAACAGTTAGTCACCATCGACGTACGGTGACCTGTATAGGCATGCAGTTAAACGGTGTATTTACTTGATTATTCGCTTCCAAGCAGCGCTAAGCCTGTAGCTATCCGAACTGTAAAACAATTTTATTTCTCTCAATTTCGATAGATTCTCTAAGGAATCTTGGCCAGTAGTAACTAGTTTTGCACAGAACTTCAACATAATAAAAATGTCAACATTATCACTGATGACACTACGAGTCACATACCAGAATCTTCAAGACGCACACACACCTCGTGGGATGGGTCATGCGGCCACTTCGCTAGCGCCGGTTAGCAGTGTCGTTTTGAAATCAGAAATCTCTGGGAGTGCCCTGAGAGTACTCGTGAATGGCTCCGCTGCCAGCGACGAGGGCCCTGGGGTAAACTCCAACTACCACAGATTTGCATGATGATTCTTCTTATTCTTCTTCCAGTTTTCAAAATTAAGTTGTATTGGAAAGTTAGAAATTAGCTGTGTTTTTATCGAACCGCAACTGAAACTGCCTCGGGAGTCGTTGTGGTTCATAAGCCGCGGTTTGGCCAACCCTGCTGCCATACAGCATTAAATGTCACCAGAAGACAGGTACTGTAGGAAGGCGGTTGATCCTGCGTATCCGACACACCAGTGCGCGTACGTGCGTAAAAGTGGATTAGCACACATTTACCTACACAGCTGTGTGTAAACGGAGAGCGTAGTTACCACATTAGAGATTTTAAAAAAAGACAGACTCCCACACGTGTGTGAAATATGATAAAATAAAATATATTTATTATTTAAAACCTGTAATGTAATATCTGGCCAGGTGTGAAAAACAATCTCTGCATATAAAAGCATGCACCAGTGTTTTATGTTTGACTCGAATTCACATGTCAGTTGAGAAAACCCAAGGTATACCGTATTCTCTGGACTATACGGTCAGACCTTGCCCTGGTATATCAAAGCGAACATTTGGGGGTGTGCGTCTTATAATTCTGTAGGCGCGTGTGAGTGACCAAATTAGTGTAACGATATCAACAGCAGGCACACATTTGGGGTGTGTATTCATTTTAGGGGTGACATTAGCCAGGGAATACGGTATTTTGCAAATTGTGGCCATAAAAAGTTGACAATCGGCGATAAAACGATGTCTTGCAATTAAGTTCGTCCTTTTAAAAATACGTCTGCTCATAAATTAATATATAACAATTCGATATAGCTTTAGGGGTAATTAGAATGCAGCTTAGCACTACATCAAATGTTGTTGACCATGCCTTGTGTATAAATGTATATTGGTAGGTTATTGATACGTATCGTGTCGAATACAAAGCAAATATTACAATAAACGCATTTCACTTGCCTTACATTTATTAATAATGATTTGTCTGGGGGTAGAGGTGGGGGTAGAGGTGGGGGTTGATCGCTCACCCGTTGGCCCCGAATAGGTAGCTGCAGCAAGTAGGTTATTAAATTGTGCAGATCTTTTTCAGATTTGTTTTACCAAAGGCTCGATTTATCGATGGATATTTAACGGGTTGATGTTCAGGCTGGAGTAGACACGTGACTAGAAGCCACATCCATGGCGAGGGGCACACTGGATGTTGTGTGCAGTGTGTCGAATTTTTTTCTGTCCACTGACGCAAACAGACCCGGCTCAAATTAACTGCACTACACCTTTCGATTTAAAGCTTTCGTGACTGCAATGATTCATCTTCTTTGGTTTTTTCGGTAAAGTCACGTAGAATGAGAATAAAATAATAAATTGATAAACCAGACAGTCTCGCCCCTTCACCTGATGAAGGCCGCTTGTGTTGTGGCCGAAACGTCGTGAGAATATTATTGTGTTATTTTATTTTATCAATTTATTATTTTATTCTCATTCTACGTGACTTTACCGAAAGAACCAAAGAAGATGCACTACACCTTTTGATGGCCCCCACCTGCACTAACCTGGACTGGCCAGAGTGGTGAAGTATGGTCAAATGATCCCCCATAAATGACAAGGTGTGGGGGAAGGCTGTCATCCAGCAGTGGATGACAAAGGGATGGGCATTTTTTTTCTCCAGGTGCTGCGGTTTCCATTCATATGCAACACATACCAAGTGAATGTGGGTTCTCGCATGGTTTTGAATGATGAAAAAAACATTTGGGAACTTGTAACTGAATTTGGCTAAAAATCCAAAATAGTCCCTTCTGAAGAAGTCGTAGGATTATAATTTACATTTAAAAGCCTTGAGAAGAAGTTAAGTCTTTCCTGGATTGTTTTTTACCGTATTCTCCGGAGAATACAAACTTTTTCACCTGCGTTTATAATTCATTAGGTGTTTGTGTGCGTGCCGTGATTGGTAAAGTTTGATTGGCACCCGGGCACAAAAGTAAACTATTTAAAATAAACTATTTTTTATTTTACCAGATAAGGCCCACTGAGGAATATATAGCTCTTTTTCAGAAGCGATCTGGCCACAAATGATAGCTCCACGAAGTGCCTTATCACATGGACATTTATCGCAGCTAAATGCTGTAAACGCACGTTTCTAAATGTGGAGGGACAAACTGGACGACCCGGAGAAAAATCCACGCGACCACGAGCAGAGAGACACCGCAAACTCCAAGTATACAGCAGGCGTCACGTTTGGGATCGAATCCCACGACCTCTTGTATACCCGGCGAGGTAGTTAACATCTCGCCACCGTGGCACCCATTCTTGTTTTGGGTGAGTCTTACTTTCGGGAACGTGTCATATTTCGGAGAATACGGCATTAGGATTGTCAATGGTGTACTGGAATAGGGTGGGTTATTGTACGCTGTTACAGCATTTCCGTTGGACAAACATTTGCGCACGCGACGTCACTAACACAACATAGGCACTGACGCAAATGAGCGACGGGCCTTTCAATCAATCCTCATTAATCGGCTTTGGAGCGAGCAAACCCTTTGTAAACAACATTCTGACAGTTGCACTCATTACGTCGTTTCATGACCGGATAACCTCGCGAATACGCCGGATCTCGTTAAATCTCGGAAGCAACGCCTCGACACTTCTTGGATGGGTGATCTATAATAAAAACAGATGTTCTCGGTTGCTTCAGGTCTATGTTGTCAGCATATGACGGTGCATAAACCCCCACACGTTGTGCTGCACCATCTATGCTCCAACGTATATAGTCCCCACTTTCACCAACCCGCACTAAAGTGGTGAAGTATGGTCAAAAAACCACCACGCTATGCACGCCGCGGGGAGGCCCTATATCTAGCAGTGGATTGTCATTATTGCTGCTGTATCAGTAAGACGCCTTGTATAGATTGTCACGCGGCGTGGTGTTAAACACACAAGCACACTGCCGTACAAATTGGCGTGAAATTCTTCGACGTGGGCATGCAGCGATTGGAGGGCACGGGACAATATCCGAAAATAGACGAAGCACCACTTTGCGGGTAAGCACTGATGCCAGACTGAACTCGATCGTGATTTAAGTCGTGACGTGAACGGCCCTGTGACTTTTTTTAGTTCGTTCATCAGCCAACCCGCAGATAAAAAAAGAAAGCAACATCTTTTACGCAGATAAAGCAACATCAGCCGTGAGTCGCAACGAGATGGACATTTAAACAAAAGTAAACGCGCGATAACAGAGCCCAAAGTTCGTCGCGTTCCACGCTGTACAAATAATTTATCACGCTTCCCACGTGTGCAGTTGCTTTGAACTCGAGTCCGCCCAATGTTTGCGCTTTACAAAGGTTTAGTATTGGTTTTTTTTTTTTCCTCCATCACCATCATCATAATGATTATTATTATAATGTACGACTAATGTCTCTCACACCAAAGACTCTAGAGCGACGACCGTGTCCGAGTCTTGGCTGTGCATGGAGCTGAGTCCCGTGTCGGAGTCGTCGCCGTCGCCGCTCGCAAACTCCTTGCCGCCGACAGCGACGTGAAGAGGAGGACACAGCGACGGCGGCGACGAGACCTGCGTCCTTTGCGTGGACGTTGTGGAGGCACGGTCTAGGTCCTTCTCCTCCTGCTGCTGCTGCTGCTGCACGCCCATCCTCTCGATATTCTTGACGAGCCTCTCGAACTCGCGTTGCATCGTCCGCAGCGTCCGCTCGCTCCTCGCGAGCTCGCCCGCCGCCGTCTGCACCTCCACGTCCATCCTGAGCCCGACGTAGGCACTCGCGCCCAACTCGCTCTTCAGTCTCTCGGCCTCGAAGTCCACGCGGTGGAAATCGGCGGTGGTCTCGTCCGCGTCCGGCGAGAGTTTGTACGCCGCCGCCGTCGCCTCCTCGACCTCCTCGTCCGCTATCGGCGAGTCGCTGGCCGAGGCTGCACGGCTCCCTCCTGCTGTGCGCCGATTGCGCTCCAGCTCCAGACTCAGGCGCTCTATCGTGTTCTCGCGTACGCGCAGCTGTTCGTGGAGGGACAGAACCTCGCCGCACACGCGGGCATACTCCTCGAAGTCCTCCCACGGACGCGAGTCAAAATCTCCTCCTCCACCACCACCACCACCTTCTCCTTCCATTCTCCCTCCTGATGCTGCTGCGTGCTCGTGCCCGTACCCGAGCGCGTAAGCGTCGTGCACGTAGTTGGCCCCGTCCTTGCGCACGCGGTCCGAGTGAGTCCTCGCCTCGTACTCCTCGATCTCGGCGTCCAGCTGGCACAGCCGCTGGGTCTGTTGCCGGACGGTGTGGTCCTGCGAGATGACCACGTGCACCAGCGTCTCCAGGCGCTGGGCGAACGCTGGCAGCGGCGGGGACGGCGCGCACTGGCGAGCCTCGAGGCATCTCCTCATCCTCCTGGCCCTCCTCATCCTCCTCGTCATCTCCTTCTCGTGCTCGCCCAACTCATCAATCTCGTCCCCCTGCTTGTGCTGCTGCTGTTTGATGCGCTTCTGTCGCACCTCCTTCTTCTCGATCTCCGCCGCCACAGGCTCGTTCTCATCGTCAACATCCTCGGCATCATCAACGTCATCATCCTCGGCATCGTCGTCTTCGTCATCCTCCTCCTCCTCCTCCTTCACGCCGTTGAGCGCGCTTAACTTGCGGAAGGCCTTGCGCACGATGCGACGCTGCAGTTCCGGAGACAGCGCCTCGATGAACTTGGCCGTGCTCCTCGGAGGCGGCTGCGGCTTCACTTTGCTCTGCACGAGTCTGGCCTCGGCGGCTCTGAGCGCCGCGCCCTGCACGAACGCGTCCTTCTTGACGAGCACGAAGCGCACCCACGACCTCTCGGCGCCCCACGCCGTCCACAGGCGCAGCAGCTTGGTGCGTCCGGGCAGCACCCGCTCGTAGCCGCGCCACTTCTCCACCACGCCATACGCGTCCGGGTGTCCCATCAGAGACTTACCGCCGCAGCCCGTGGTGCCCAGCGTCTTGCTGCTACTGCTGCTGCTGTTGTTGTTGTTTCTCCTCTGCTCCGCGAGGAGAGCCCTCACAACATCAGCGCACGTCGTCCTCCGCGTCATGCCAGACACCACCTTCTCTTGCTGGCAGACCCACACCGTGAGGATGCCTGCCACCTGGCCTTTGGACCCCTTTGGAGGCTCCATCGTTGGCCCTGCGCATCAGAGCGCCGGGGGGAGACGAGCGCACGGGTGGAAGGGGTCTGTTGATGAGCAGCGTTGGGGTCTCCCCCGGGGTTGTGGTTCGTGAGACCTGAGTTGAGCCCTCACAGCCCCCTCTCTCCTCCCGCCCAACCACCACCACCTCCTCCCTTCCAGCAGAGCGGTTCACCTCCTCAGCGCGTTGTTTCACAGCTTGAGTCAACCCACCTCGTCCCCCCCCCCCCACCGTTCCCTTCCGAGTCAAACTCGTCCTTTTTTTCACGGCCGAGTGAATCACCTGCCTTACTACTCCTCCTCCTACGGCCGAGTTAACAGGTATCTCCCTCCCTGTAAGTGTGGCTGCCCCCTGTGTCGTTGTGTGCGTGCGTGTGTCCCTCACCCTGCCTGAGTGCGGTGCGCGCTCAGGCGGTGACGCATTTAACGAGATAGTGAGAGAGGAGGGGTGGGTGGGGAGGAGGAGGAGGAGGCTGCTTGGGCGAACGGTGGCTGCTGCTGCTGCTGCTATTGGAATGAGAGGTACCTCTCATTCCTGCCCTTTACCCCCCCCATAGTACCTACGATTAGCACGGTTGGCTAAGTACGGCGCGAAAGAAGTGCTACGCCATACATATGCACAGCGCACGGCATTGCACGGCGCTAACATTGTGCTTCCCCTTATTTTCAGGATTATAAGACGCTCGGGCAAAAGAAGGGAGAAAAGTAAGACGCACTTTCCATAACGTGTCACCCCCGGTGTTTAATAACGTGATATACACAAATACCCCCCCTCCCACCTTCCCCAAAAACTTCAGTTTAAAATACACCTCCGATGAGCACGGATGGGCTACGTACGGTGCGAAAGAAGTTCACAACATGCGGAAAATACGGTCGCAGAACTAGCGCGCGCTCCGTGACTCGACAATAGCCGGTAACGACAACTACGGGGTCGAACAAAAAAAGAAGAGAACGCATCGCTTAGCATTATTAGATTATTTGGTCTATTTATAGGCACAAAGTAAGATCACAACGGTGACGTGCCGAACAGTGGACACATTGTTGTTCCTGGCCGTCCATTGAAATGCGCTAAGGCGTGTTAAACCAAGGAGGGGGAATGGGGGGAGGAGTAAAAGGAGACACGTTTCCGTTTTTATTTTACTTGTGCCGTGCTGTTTTGTTGTTAAGTGCCTTCGCCTTGTCACATTGTGCAGCTTGTCAGATGTCGGGGGTGTGAGCGTTGCGTGCCTTCTGTGTCTTGCAAATGCCAAGCGCGGCGATACTTATTTATTTAGTATAATTGCTTTGCTTCTCCGCTCATTCCGGTTTTTTATTACATTGTTTTCTCTTTCAGCAATGCAGTATACAAAAAAAGAGAGACACAAAGGTACAGCCCTTGCAATGTCTTGCTCATGCCACTGCTGGCAGAAAGGGCGCCCTACTAGAGGCAACTTTAACCATTCCACACACTGCCACGACATCTCGGAAGAGGTGGAAGGCCCCACGCTTCGCACCACCACATCACACGTGGCCTGCCGATAGTCTAACTAACCAACAGAGGTGTACCCACTTATACGGCTGGGAGGATAAAGACGGGGAGATTTGAAGAAGTTTGCCGACTGTCTTTCAACTGCCGCGCCTTCAGATCGAATCTTACCGGCAACTTCTGGTTTCCAAATCCTGTGTGCTAATCATTAAACCCACTGCAGCTTGCAGTCTATGCACCTAGCAATATATATGGGAAAAAAGCAATACTGGATAAGCATTCATATTTTATGCAGGCCAGTCAGTCGAAACGTCGCATCTTCATTTCCTCTGTGACAGTTAAAATCTCAGATTTAGTTTTTTTTATATCTAGCTATTCATTGTACGAGTTCACTGAAGCGTTACGTTTTTGGCAAATTCACACGTCGTTGTGTACGTGTTGAAGACACACGAGTAGATTTGCGTGTACGCCTTATGCCGATTCATAATGTAACCACCCATCCCTTCCTCGCTGGTGCGAGCCAGCCAGCCAGCAAAACTTAGCTTCTAAGACAGTAATACCTTGATACGCGTAAATTCGATTAAGGAAGTTTCTGTACAACGAAATTTGGATGTATTACCATTATTTTACACAAGAAGCTAGAAGTAACTTTAAAATAATACGTAAATAATGCATGTATCAATCTACAGTAGTATATAAATAACAATACAATTATAATAAGATATGGATTCTGTACACTGTTAATTTTTTATTATTTTTATTACTTTAATATTGTACAATATTAAATATTATTTTCAATATACATTTTTTTTTTACAAAATGGTTAGTTAAGAAGTGTTAGTCTTTTGGATGGAATGGTAAGTTACGAAGGCTGGGAACGCATCCCCATAGTGCTAATGTTGTAAGTTATTCAATATACGAAGTTTCAATATCGATGCATTACTGTGCAGCGTGAGAATAATGTACAGCAGCTGTGTCAATCCACTGCTGGATGAAGGGGCTCCTCCCATCGCGCCGTGCGAGTCGTAAAATCTTGAGCAACGCAGGAACCCGGCTCAACGCTGTGGGGATGCGGGTGACGTCATCACGCAGATATGCGTGGTGACGTCACCGGCACCGAGCCAGACAGGAATCCACGGCAGGTTATCCAGCCAGACAAACATTTTTTTTCCCTTCTCTCATATAGTACGACTGTATGATGCCAACATTGGAATCACTGAGAGCTATTGGCATGATTTGTCTAAGGGACATGTATGTGTATTGGATTTGTTTACCATTTAATAGCATTGGCTTTACTCTTATCTTCGCTTGTCAATCCCATTTTAATGGCGCCATTGATATGCCAGGGGGAAAATCGAGGGCCCGGAGAAAAACCAACGGCACTCTATACAAGAGCGCGACACTCAGCGCTTCCATCACCTGGCCACAACTCGAAACCCCACGCCTACAATACCCCGGATATCACCCATCCGGGTAATTGCCGGGAGCCATCCTGCTTAGCCTTTTAAAAAACGACAATGTCGGGCGCATTTCGGAAAATTTAAAAATTCAAGTCAACATTTTGTCGACAAGCACTATGACCTTTGGGGCGAGAGAGGTCATGGGGGGGGGGCGGGGGTGGGCTGGAGGGGGACTGAGCCCCCCCTGCGGAAGGTTTAGCACCACACCTCCCCCCCCCCCCCAAAAAAAAAATGTTTCAAGTTGAAAAATCCTGTTAAATATTTAAATTCGTTGGGTCTTTCGGTAAAAGTCACGTAGATAGGTTCAAAGAAAATAAAATAAAAACTACGACGTTTCGATCTTAACACAAGCGTTCTTTACCGAAGGACCCAGAGAACATGAATGCCTGTGGTCACGAAAGCTTTAAGTCAAGATTTAAAATGTCAAGATTTCATCAGGTGGTTGTTTCACCTGATGAAGATTGCTTGTGTTGCGATCGAAACGTCGTGATTTGTTTTATTTGATTTTATTTCTACCTACGTGACTTTGCCGAAAGAACCAAAGAGTAAAGATTTTAAAATATTTAACACCAGTCGCGTTTTTTTCCTTTAAAATGTGCCAGTCCCCAACAGCCGTAATCATACAAATCAATTATTGTCTTTTACTATTGACTGTATCGTGCAAACCCACCCCCCCCCCCCCCCCCTCCAATGAGTTTTTGAATGCCCTCCCCGCCCGCCCCCACTCCTCTATAAAGAAGGTCGTGCTATGAGATTGCAGTCGACCCATTTTCGCAAGAAAGCGTGGCTCTCTGCCGAGCTTGGCAAAGTCTGCACATTTGTGTGGGTGGATTATTGCGCGCGTGTGGACTTCAATTGGCTCTGTCATTGCTGCCTCCCCCCCCCCCACGCACCCCCCCCCCCAGGAGCCAGAGGTGAAGTAGGGGCCCTGTGCCGTACGACTCTCGTCGCACAAAAGTCGCATGACACTTTTCTTCAGAGTATATATTTCGTGGGAATTCATCATGTAGCAGCACTATATTTAAAACATTATTTGACAAATATTTGTTTATCCTGAACATTGTTTTTTTAAGAGGTGTATTCATGGGATGAAACCGGAGATCCTAGCAAAAATGCCCACGTATAAATTAGGTTCTGTTCCAGCAGTGGATTTAGAAAGGTGCTGTACATATACTCATTGGCCTATTTTCTGTGGGACAATTCTCTCGACTACAGAACTTCTCTTATCCACGGCCCTATTATCCGCGATTCCTATTAACAGTGGAACCTTTATCGTCCAAACATTTCTATTATCTGTGACTATCCACCATTTTACCCATAATTCACAGCTTAGCTGCTTCCTAATTCTCTCCCTGCGGGTTATCCATTGGTAACCAATGCTGTAATTCCTCCTATCATCCGTAAAAAAAATCTATTGTGGCAAAAGAGGAGTTGCGAGACAAATGAATCCTACTTACTCGCTGGTTATACGCAATTAGTTTTTTTACCCCGTGGAAAAGAGTAAACTCACAAATAATCCCCATGAATTATAGGATTGGCGATTATTGCCCCTCTATATCACTGCGAATAAGACGGTTCTGTACATTAGCCAGAGATGGTCGAATGCACAAATGGCAAAAGTGGATGTGGACCACGTTAAAATCCAGACCAGTAGAGCACCAGATACAAATGATCAGCGTAGGCACATTCACGTTTCTCCATAGTGATTATTTTGGTTTAACATTGTAGCCAACAGCCAACATCGGACAAAACCGTGAATCATATTCCCAGAGTAATTATTGCCAGATAATATTGTATCATATTATTAAATATGAAATGGTGTACTCTGTAATATCAATTGTCCTGCACTGTCACTTTACAAATGACCGTGCAGAACATTTCTAAAATGCTCTCATTCAATAGAAACACCAATTTACCGCTCAATGCGCAGGGTTTTATTTTCTCTCTCTACACTCCTTAAACCCCCGCCCATATTGTATTCTCTTCCATGTGGACCAATATTCTTGATTGAAATGCAAATGTAAAGTTCGCGAACCCGAGGACTGTTAGATATGGAAGCCTGCACCTAAATTGGGCTGGGCAAGCCTGCAGGGTGCCCATATTTAAATATCACCGTTTATTATTAGGAGCGAAATAAATAACCCGAATCAAGCGCAAACGGGCAAAGCGCAACCAACGAGAGATGAGAGACGAAGTTAAACTACGGAGCGGAGACCAATAGAAGCAGATGAGCGGAGGGAGAAGGCAGCAGCGAGGTGACACTTCGCAGAGTGCAGAGGTCACATCACAGAGTGCAGAGGTCACATCACAGAGTGCAGAGGTCACATCACAGAGTGCAGAGGTCACATCACAGAGTGCAGAGGTCACATCACAGAGTGCAGAGGTCACATCACAGAGTGCAGAGGCCACTTCACAGAGTGCAGAGGTCACTTCACAGAGTGCAGAGGCCACATCACGGAGTGCAGAGGCCACTTCACAGAGTGCAGAGGTCACATCACAGAGTGCAGAGGCCACTTCACAGAGTGCAGAGGTCACATCACAGAGTGCAGAGGTCACATCACAGAGTGCAGAGGCCACTTCACAGAGTGCAGAGGTCACATCACAGAGTGCAGAGGCCACTTCACAGAGTGCAGAGGCCACTTCGCAGAGTGCAGAGGTCACATCACAGAGTGCAGAGGTCACATCACAGAGTGCAGAGGCCACTTCACAGAGTGCAGAGGCCACTTCACAGAGTGCAGAGGCCACTTCACAGAGTGCAGAGGTCACTTCACAGAGTGCAGAGGTCACATCACAGAGTGCAGAGGCCACATCACAGAGTGCAGAGGCCACTTCACAGAGTGCAGAGGCCACATCACAGAGTGCAGAGGCCACTTCACAGAGTGCAGAGGCCACTTCACAGAGTGCAGAGGTCACTTCACAGAGTGCAGAGGCCACTTCACAGAGTGCAGAGGTCACTTCACAGAGTGCAGAGGCCACTTCACAGAGTGCAGAGGCCACTTCACAGAGTGCAGAGGTCACATCACAGAGTGCAGAGGCCACGTCACAGAGTGCAGAGGTCACATCACAGAGTGCAGAGGCCACTTCACAGAGTGCAGAGGTCACATCACAGAGTGCAGAGGCCACTTCACAGAGTGCAGAGGCCACTTCACAGAGTGCAGAGGCCACATCACAGAGTGCAGAGGTCACATCACAGAGTGCAGAGGCCACATCACAGAGTGCAGAGGCCACTTCACAGAGTGCAGAGGCCACATCACAGAGTGCAGAGGCCACTTCACAGAGTGCAGAGGTCACATCACAGAGTGCAGAGGCCACATCACAGAGTGCAGAGGCCACTTCACAGAGTGCAGAGGTCACATCACAGAGTGCAGAGGCCACATCACAGAGTGCAGAGGCCACATCACAGAGTGCAGAGGTCACGTCACAGAGTGCAGAGGCCACATCACAGAGTGCAGAGGCCACATCACAGAGTGCAGAGGCCACATCACAGAGTGCAGAGGCCACTTCACAGAGTGCAGAGGTCACATCACAGAGTGCAGAGGCCACGTCACAGAGTGCAGAGGTCACATCACAGAGTGCAGAGGCCACTTCACAGAGTGCAGAGGTCACATCACAGAGTGCAGAGGCCACTTCACAGAGTGCAGAGGCCACTTCACAGAGTGCAGAGGCCACATCACAGAGTGCAGAGGTCACATCACAGAGTGCAGAGGTCACATCACAGAGTGCAGAGGTCACATCACAGAGTGCAGAGGCCACTTCACAGAGTGCAGAGGCCACTTCACAGAGTGCAGAGGCCACTTCACAGAGTGCAGAGGTCACATCACAGAGTGCAGAGGCCACATCACAGAGTGCAGAGGTCACATCACAGAGTGCAGAGGTCACATCACAGAGTGCAGAGGCCACTTCACAGAGTGCAGAGGCCACTTCACAGAGTACAGAGGCCACATCACAGAGTGCAGAGGTCACATCACAGAGTGCAGAGGCCACTTCACAGAGTGCAGAGGCCACTTCACAGAGTGCAGAGGCCACATCACAGAGTACAGAGGCCACATCACAGAGTGCAGAGGTCACATCACAGAGTGCAGAGGCCACTTCACAGAGTGCAGAGGCCACTTCACAGAGTGCAGAGGCCACATCACAGAGTACAGAGGCCACATCACAGAGTGCAGAGGTCACATCACAGAGTGCAGAGGTCACTTCACAGAGTGCAGAGGCCACATCACAG